TTATAATAGTCTTACTAATAATATATATATATATATATATATATATATATATATATATATATATATATACACACAATTAATTGAACGCTTTTTGCATTATACATTCTGTATTTGCTGGGATCAGATTGACCCTGTTGTAAGAACTTTGTGTTTAGGCTCTGATAAGCTGTGTTCGAATCCTTGCGATATCACAGAATATCCTCCTTCCCACTTTAAATTGTGAGTGTGTTATAAGAGTGGATGGGAGGATGCTAATGACTGTAAGTAATTTAAAATTACGGACGAAAGTAGATAACTTTAGTAGCTTTATCTTAAATACAAATATTGTACTTTAAACGTTGTCAACAAAAGAAACCAAACAGTCGTTATAACTTGAACTTGTATCTTTAAAACTTGGATTCTACTGTCAAAAGATAATGTTAAGCTTAACTAACAGCTAGATCAAACATACGGTGAAATCTTTTACTCGTATAAACAATATTGATATGCTGGATCTTTTGGGTATGATGGGTAAAATTCGGAAGTACACGAATATTTGTTTTTAAGCTCAAGCTTTCAGACTGGTTAGGGCGCTTGACTCGCAATCTGAGGGTCGTGGGTTCGAATTCCGATCCCACCAAACATGCTCGCCCTTTCAGCCGTGGGGGGGGGGGCGTTATAATGTGACGGTCAATCCCACTATTCCTTGGTAAAAGAGTATCCAAAGAGTTGGCGGTGGGTGGTGATGACTAGCTGCCTTCCCTCTAGTCTTTCACTGCTAAATTAGGGACGGCTAACGCAGACAGTCCTCGTGTAGCTTTACGCGAAATTCAAAACAAACTAGCAAATACATCCGATTGCAATATATACTTGAAATACGACATAACAGTTAATAATCTTGTTCTCATTCTTTATGAGACCCACAGGCTTATCTGGCGAAGCATGACATTTTGACAAGAAGATTGAAACCATCTAAATAGCATCATTTTTTTTTCTACTGCATCAGTAAAATAATTTTCAGTAAGAAGTGATTATGATAATATTTTAACTATGCCCTAAGAAGGGGCGTCGAGAGCCAGCGAAGCGCCCGATTTCTTCATGAATTCATGAAAAAGCAGTAGTCATTTAGCTCATTAAGTAGTATGCATTTCTTGTGAGCTTTGGAATATCCCACTGCCGGGCCCCTGAACAGACCCCGGGCTCTGGAGAAGTTGCCCCTTGCCACCCCCATCCTCTCGTCAGCCCTGGGCCTAAGCGCTGTCTGTCTTATGCCGCTGTCGACGAGACCTTTCGCCTAATACCTCAACTCATCAAGTTGGCTGGATTGCAATAAACAGTTTATATCATTTTTTTATAAGTCGTACAGAGAACGCCTTAGCTGACGAAGCGTATTATAGTTTAGTGGCAATATGTGTGATGTTATATCAGATTAAAATTTGCAGCAACGTAAATCAAATCATTATGTGATTGTCTGTGTGTTGTGACCCAGGTAGGCCGTTAAAATACTGCGTAACGCAGTTTAAGACAACTTTATCCTTCTTCACCCGTATGTAACGCACAGTAACACGAGCCACCCATATTATTTTTAGTTGCATAATTGTACCAACCCTCACCACACACACACACACGTAATTGTTATGATTTTACTGCTGAGTTGAAAAAAGCTTTAATTAATTATTTATCGAAACTCATTGCCCATTTAATCTAAATTTCAGTGTGAAAAAGGAAGTGTGAAGTGTTAGTATTCGATTTTAGGAAACGACCTCGTAATAATTCTACCTTCGATATGTACTACAGGTATTAATGCGAATTTTAAATAAATAAGTGCTGTGATATATTTCTTAAGTTATTAAATATATAAGTGTTTTGGTTGACAGATATTGTAAAATGATGTTAGCTATAGGGGCTCAAATGTAAATATATTTCCTCTTTTCTGCTTTCTCATTTCACCTACGGCCTCCCAAGTGGCTCAACGGTAAAACTGAAGGCTTATAGCGCAAAAACCCGGGTTTCGAAACCTATGGCGGGCAAAGCGCAGATAGACCATTGTGTAGTTTGCGCTTAACAACAAGCAAACATTTTGCGTACGATTCTGTATTAATTTAGAATAGTGACAGAGAATGTAGTTTGGTAAAGTGTTTGTGATAGGCGTAAAATCAACAGATTACACA